TGGTCCAAGGGAGCATCTCCCAAAACACAGTGGGAAAAAGTACTGTTTCCACCAAGTTCAAGTCAAACAGACTTCCGTGTTTGTGTTCTAGCTTCCATACTCTTTACAGCGCCAGCCTGGATTAATCTGTCTCAGAGGTGGGGCGCTCTCTCTCTTTCCCGGGTCTATGGTCTATTTTTCATAGAACCCTTCACTCACTGAAGTCTTTGTCTTGGCTGTTGGAGACAGGCTCTTGCCGTGTAGCCCAGCCGACCTCAGACTCTTATCCTCCTACCTTAGCCTTCCAAGAGCTGGGATTCCAGGCGTGTGCCCCAACACCCGGGTCACCACATGAGATCAAGAGAATTTTAAGGAGGGTACAGCAAGATTGGACACAAAGCCAGAGGCCAGGCGTTGGAACTCCTGAGTCCTCTTCCCGTTGTACATGAACTCTGCCCTTTTTGCCTCTCCACCTTTAATGAAAAAGCCACCCCCATGGACCCTACCCCCCCCAAAAGCTGAGCCCTCCCCAGGGTGCATGCTGACGCCCCCTCCTCTCCTGGGTCTAGGATTGCCATCTTTTTGGAGGCTGTATATGAGCAGACCAACGTGCCCCCCAAACACCAGGAGTACCTCTTTGAGGGTCACCCTTGTGTCCTGGAGCCAAGCCTCTCAGCCCAGCACATGGCCCCCACCGCCGCGGACAGCCCTCTGATTCTGTTCAGCGTGGCCAGTGACTCACCCAAGGGGCTGGCCTTCAGGGACCGTGAGTAGGGCCATTCAGGCTGAATCTTTTATTATACTGGAGACGCTCTCCTCCAGAACATCTGGGTTTACAACCCAGGACATGGCTTGTTTTCTTGGCAAATGTTTCTCTGGCCCGCACGGTAGAAGTAAATTTGGTTTTCATTCTACGCACACCTCTGAGTTGCCATGTGACTTCAGCTGGTGACGAGAATTTCTTGGCCTTCTCCAGATCCTCCAACAGAGACGGGGCATTTGGAGACCTTATGTACTCGACAGTCTCTGTGACTGGTGGGGGATGCTTTGGGTAGTTTGGGCTGCTGGAGAGAGGGGCAGGTGGGCCAAGGCCCAGAGCTTTGTCCTTTCCTTACTTTCTAGAAGGAATATTCCTTCTCATTTGAAATATGCTTAGTCCTCCTCGGAGGTAAGGGAGGGGCTTTAACCTTGCGAGAGAATTAGTCTGCGGGCTTGGAGAGGCAGGGCTTTGGGCTTTAGGGTGTAGTTCTCAAACCTGACCACAAGGTGGCAGTGAAGAACTGAGACATGTAAGAGCCACTGGGTCAAGGTTGGCAAGCCAAGGGGCACCGGGAGAGTTGGGAAGCTTTAGGTGGGAGATCCGGCAGTGAGGGGTGCCTGTGAGCTGGGAACAAGGAAGAATGGCCTCAGTATTGACCCAGCCCATAGAAGCAGGCCCCTCAGACAGGGTCTTTGTCTGCAGCTGCTCTGGATGTCCCCAAGTTCGTCCCCAAGGTCGACCTACAGGCAGATTACAGCACCGCTAAGGTGAGGGGCGCCCCCAGGAGGCAGAAGGGGGTTTGACACACGGGGGAGGCCTGCCCTGCCCATCTGTGTGTTTCAGGGGGTGCTGGCTGCTGGTTTCCAGGCCCTGTGGCTGGCGCGGGTCCTGCTGGATGGGCAGGCGTTGATGCTTCGAGGGTTGCACTGGATCCTGTGAGTACTGTGGGGGGCTGGAGGGGGGCCTAGCACACCCGTCCAGACCTCTCCTGTCCCTCTCTAAGGCCACGCCTACATGCACAGTGCCCCCCGGCCGGGTGGCTCTGACTAGGGCTGCCCTCACACAGGGAGATGCTTCAGAACACGTGCCAGCAGACACTGGAGGTCACGCGGACAGCCCTCCTCTTCCTCAGCAGCAGCCTGGGCATCGAAAGGTGGGTGTTCCAGCTAGGCCAGCGGGGTGGGGTGGGGGGGGCTCAGCTCTCCTCTCTGCTCCTCACCCCTGCGATGTACCTGGCCTTCCCCCAACCAGAGTTCCTACCCCCTACAACATGAGCACTCTCACCCCATCCTTCATACCCCATCTTTCCACATGGTACCCATCCTCAGCTGGGAGAAACCCACGTGGGCACTGCCTCTCTGGGCTCCAGGACAATGCCTTACCTCGGGAAGGGCAGCCTCCAACCCTCAAAAGCATAGTCCCCCCCTCTCGTGCCCCATGAAGAGCAGCCCCCTACCCCAGGTAGGGCCTTAATTCACCAGGACTTTGAACGACTTGAAACACGCTGTGCCAGCCTCAGAGAGGATTCCAAGGAAGGACTCAATCCCAGCTGCTGTTCCTGCCCTTGACCAGTGATGGAGAGCCAGGCTGTCTCAGCCTCCACACCTTTCCTCTTATTTCCTCTGGGTCTTCCGCTTGTCCTTGCCTTCTGGGGTGGAAAGGAAGAGCCTGGGAAGGAGGAAGCTAAGCCAGTGGAGGGTGCAGAGAAAGAGCGAGGGGAGAGCCGCTGGCTGCTGGCCAGAGTGCTGCTGAGGAGTAAACACAGCCTGAATCCCGGAGGGCAGAGGGTGGGGGTGGCCAGAGATGGGAGTTCTACAGCCCAGGGAAGCCTTTCCCGTCAGGCGGTGACGACATTCCTGACCCCTTCTCCGCCCCATCCCCCAATAACCTGAGCCTTTCCATTGGAAGTGCGGGGAGTTTCCCAGGGTGGGCTGATCTCTGTGTGAGCCCGGGGCTGGCAGACACTGATGGTGGGCGAGGATAAAGGGGAAGAAGAGTGTTTCCGGATGATAGGACTGGAGCCCGTTGTGACTGAGTCCCTCTGGATGGTGACAGAGGGTGGAAGCCACCCCGAGCATTCCTGTTTGGACATCCTCTGGCTGGTCCCCTGCAGGGCACAGAGATGGGACCGGACCGAAGGATAGAGTGAGACGTCTGTCCACAGAAGGGCCTGGGCTGCCCAGGTGCAGTCTGTCCTTGCTTGGTACGTGAGCCTGGAGAAGGGGCCTTTCGGGATAGGGAGCCAAAGCACCAAGGTTTGGAGCCCAGAAAGCCGAAGTTGGTGGGGATGCAAGGGTTGCTGTGAGGCGAATGTCCTGGGGTGAAGTCAGGGAGAGAGGCGGGGAAGGCATGGCGTCCTGGAGGGTCCATTTAGAGAGAGGTTGGTACCAAAAAAACCTGACCACGGTGGTCATTTATGGGTTCTCAGTCTGGGCAGAGATGTGTGGAGGAAGGTGTGGGGCGTCTGTCTGCCCCTTGTCCTGGACTGACAGGCTATATAGGAGGCAGGTGTCAGCTAGACGGGTTTTCCATTCTGGCTCCAAGGCTCTGAGGCCAAGAGAGTCAGGTGTGTGGAGGAGGCTGGAGAGCCGAGGGGCCCGCATAGAGCCAGAGACCAGATGTGATCTCTTTTCTGGCTTGCAGGGGACCACAGGCCATCAGGACCTTTGCCTGCCTGGGCCTCTGCCAATATCTGAAGTCTCCCAGTTCAGTGCTTTGCAATCCCATTCTTTCCTGGACCCCCTCAGATCTGTAGATTCCTCTGAGGGCTGTGGCCACCAGCTCCCTCTACAGCGGAATGGGGTGGATTTTAACGAGTGAAATGTCTCCTTTGTGGTTGGTAGCAGAGTTACATCCTTCCCGCCTGCCCATCCTTTCTTTCTTCGGGGTGCTTTCTCAGCAAGGCAGCCTTCCTACTCTGTCCTGAAGGGCTCTGGCTGGAGGAATAGCTGGCTATCAGGACATCAGCAATCCTGAGGTCTCCACACTCCCCAAGCCCCAACTATATAAATTCACCCCCTCAGTAAGTAACATCAACATGGGACATGCTGTGTGCTGAGCACTGTGGGGCCCTGGAGCTCTCCAGTGGGTAAAGGATACAGTGTCCCCACCCACGTGGAGCCTCAGTGGACTCCCGAGATGCTCTGCTCACCTCTTCCGTCTTCTGTGCAAAAAGATGCAGGATTCTCTCTTGATTGTTATCATGTAAAGACGATTCTGACTGGCTCTGGTGGCATATGTCTTTAATCCCAGTACTCAGGAGACAGAGGCAGGAGGATCTCTAGGAGTTTAAGGCCAGCCTGTTCTACATAACAAGCAAGTTCCAGGATGGCCAGGACCACATAGAGAAACCCTATTACCAAAAAAAAAAAAAAAAAAAAAAAAAAGGAGAGAGAGAGAGAATATGCTAATGTCTGAGAGAGGAAGTGGACACCAGGTCCCACCCCCTAAGCAAAAAGCTATTTGCAGTTGATCCCTGCCTGCAAAGGGAAAATCAGTTTTCTCCAGGGGCGTCTCACTGGGTATAACAACCACTCCACAGCGGACTCCATGGCCAGGAGTAGTTGGCCAACACGAAGTGAACTCCATGGTTGTTATTTTTGAGGGGAGGAGGCAGGACTATGTTTCCCTTTGTTTTGACATTTGTCTTATCAGTTTTTTATTTTTGTCTCTGTGTTTGTTTGTTTGCTTGTTTGTTTAAGAGAGAAAAAGAACATAAAGCTGAATGGGTAGGGATATAAGGAGGATCTGAGTTGGGGGAGGGGAAATATGATCAAAATATATTGTATGAAAAAATTAAAGTAAAGAGAAAAGGTCTTTAAAAAAAAAAAAAAGAATATAGGCTGGTAAGAGAAAGTCAGGACGTGAGGAATCTCCTCCCAGGCAGACAGGAGTCACCACGCTGCTCCGTCTGTGTCCTTCTCCACCATTCTCTGTGAGTAGAAACGTCACCAGCATGCTGCCCTTCTCAGCTGGTGGGCCCTCTCCATCAGTACATTCGCATCCCCTCTGGACCCATTGGGATGGGAAGTGTTCTGGCATACTTGTCCTCCAGTCTCCTTCTGCAGCTTGTGGGGTCCACACTGGGAACCAGTCCAGGACCACATTGTCTATCTTTGTTCCTTGAGTTTATGTGAGTTCTCATCCCACCCTTGCTGGCTTAGCCGAGGCCCCCAGTTCACTGCCCACCCTCAGGCTCATAGGACGGAGGTCCCCAGTTCACTGCCCACCCTCAGGCTCGTAGGATGGAGGTCCCCAGTTCACTGCCCACCCTCAGGTTCGTAGGACGGAGGTCCCCAGTTCACTTCCCACCCTCAGGTTCATAGGATGGAGGCCCCCAGTTCACTGCCCAGCCTCAGGCTCGTAGGACAGAGGTCCCCAGTTCACTTCCCACCCTCAGGCTCGTAGGAGGCCCCCAGTTCACTGCCCACCCTCAGGCTCATAGGACGGAGGTCCCCAGTTCACTGCCCACCCTCAGGTTCGTAGGACTGTCTCTTGCTGACATTTGGTTTCTTCTTCCTCCCTGGCATCTTTGGTATGTTAGGGGTTCCATGGACTGTTGGAGTCAAGTTAAACAGTTTGTGTAAGAACATGCCATAGACCAGGCAGGGTACTGTCTGTCTACACACCACAGATAGTGGTCATGTGATTCCTCTACTGTGTAGGTGTATTTTTCCTGCAAAAGAGACGGGGTGTTGTGACTTTGTCACATTGCAACTGTCCCCTTTTCAATCATTCTTTGAGTTCAGTGTCAGTTGCTTCCCTGGGGCAATGGGATGCTAATGTTCCAAGTCCTGGACTACTGTGGCCCAGTACTCTCCCGTTAATGTGCTATTGGTTGTCAAAAAACACAGTTTCCACTGGGATGAACTTCATTCTATTTAGTTATAGAACTTTCTGGCAAGAGTTTACTAATAGCTACCTTGTATTGTAGGCTTGTACGTTTGAATTGGGAGTTTTAATCTATTTCAACTTTTATTCTTTGCAAGGCTCAACAATATTACAGCCATGTCAAGTTGGTTCTTCTGTCTCAAACTCTAAACTCTCTCCCAAAGCCAACAAGGCAAAGGAGCTGTGCCCAGTGTATGGGTTCAGAGCTCCTGACCTCTTCATCTGCCTCCTGAGCTCCCAACATGGCCTTTTCCTTACTCCCCTCCAGACTCAGCAGCAGGGCTGAGATGCCTGACTTCCAGGAACTAAAGGAGGCCACAGAGCTGAGGTCCAGGCTGCAGACTGTGAGTGAGCCAGGGGCAGAGCTGTAGGAATAAAGGGCGGGATGGGGGTAGGGATGCTCCTGCAGATTGCTCAGCATAGCCCTGAGTTAAGGACCCCACAGGAGTCTCTCTTTTGGCCCCACAGTTCTCAGAGGTCCTCTCTAGATGTTCCCACAATGTCACAGAGACCCAAATGAGCCTGAGCTGCCTGGGTGGAGAGCTTTTGAAGAACCGGAATCAGATCCATGAGGACAACAGAAGGTGGGTGGGATTTCCTTTGTCCATGTGATGAGGCTGGGGCTGCAGGTGGCCCCAGAGGCTGAGAACCTTTCTCGGAGTCAGCCTGATTGCTCTGTGCTAGGGCAAGGTACTAGGGTGTGGGAGGAGGAATCCAAGGAAGAGCCAGGCCCTCCCTGAGAGCAGCCTCAGGAGTGAGAACCTGGGTCCTTCCTTAACGGAGAGCTTGAATCACAAGGAGGGAGTCACAGGAGGTGCAGGAACTTGGCAGGAGCTCTCAGCTTCCTCTCTGGGTGTGTCTGCTTTCACTGAGAGCATCTCCGAGTCCGCCAAACACCAGTGCTGCTGATTTCTGTTATGAATGGGAAGGCTCACTCTGTGAGGTTCCTTCCTGAAGTCACAATCAGTAAATGACAGGTGGCCTTCAGGGCAGATACAGCTACCTCCAAAGCTTACAGCAGACAGCAATCTACAGCAATGTTTTAAATTTTATTTTGCCTGGCCTGTAGCATGGTGGTAGAGCAGTTGCCTAGCATGTGCTAGGCTCCAGGTTTAACTCCCAGTACCACATAGTAAGTAAGTAAGTAAGTAGGTAAGTAAGATAGATAGATAGATAGATAGATAGATAGATAGATAGATAGATAAGATAGAAAGACAGGGATAGATAGATGATAGATAGATAGATAGATAGATAGATAGATAGATAGATAGATAGATAGATAGAGACAGACAGACAGACAGGCAGACAAGCCTTATAGACTTAAACACTCTCAGGGGTTGGGGGAGCCAGTGTTGCTGCCCGCCTTTAATCCCAGCACTTGGGAGGCAGAGGCAGGTGGATCTCTGTGAGTTCGAGGACAGCCTGGTCTACAGAGTGAGTTCCAGGACAGCCAGGGCTACAGAGAAACCCTGTCTCAAAAAACAGACAAGTTTATTTTATTTTATTATTTTGTGTGTGCGAGTGTTTTGCATGCATTTATGTCTGTGCCCCACATACGCGCAGTGCCACCCAAGGCC